ATTTTACAGAGATAAAATCACACCGGGCAGGGTATAAGTACCTCCTGGTGCTAGTAGACACTGCCACTACAGTAGTAAAGTTTTTACTAAATGAAATCATCCCAAGACACAGGCTGCCTGTTGCCATAGGGTCTGATAATGGGCCAGCCTTCACATCATCCATAGCTCAGTCGGTCAGCAAGGCATTAAACATCAAATGGAAACTCCATTGTGCCTATCGACCCCAGAGCTCTGGACATGTAGAACGCATGAACCGCACCTAAAAAATACTCTTACAAATTAATTCTAGAAACCGGTGAGAATTGGGTGAGGCTCCTTCCTTTAGCCCTTCTTAGAGTAAGATGTACCCCTGACCGAGCTGGGTTTTCACCTTTTGAAATTATGTAAGGAAGGGCTCTGTCTATCTTGTCTACGTTGAGAGACACCCATTTAGCAGAAATCTCTCAAGCTAATTTATTACAGTACCTGCAGTCTCTCCAACAGGTACGAGACATCATCCAGCTGGTTGTCCGGGGAGCACACCCAAATCCAGTTCCTGACCAGACAGGACCCTGCCACTCTTTCCAGCCGGGTGACCTGGTGTACGTTAAAAAGTTCCAGAAAGAAGGACTCATTCCTGCCTGGAAAGGACCTCATACTATCATCCTCACCACGCCGACAGCTCTAAAGGTGGACGGCATTCCTGCTTGGATTTATCTCTCGCATCAAAAAGGCCAGCAAGACCCAGCAAGAAACATGGATCCCCAAGCCTGAGCCAGGCCCCTTAAAACTGCGTCTTGGCCAGGCGCAGTGGCTCACACCTGTAATCCCAGCACTTTGGGAGGCCGAGGTGGGCGGATCACAAGGTCAGGACATTGAGGCCATCCTGGCTAACGGTGAAACCCCGTCTCTACTAAAAATACAAAAAAATTAGCCAGGCATGGTGGCGGGCAACTGTAATTCCAGCTACTCAGGAGGCTGAGGCAGGAGAATCACTTGAACCTGGGAGGTAGAGGTTGCAGTGAGCCAAGATTGTACCACTGCACTCCAGCCCGGATGACACAGCGAGACTCCGTCTCAAAAAAAAAAAAAAAAAAAAAAATGCGTCTAAGTTGCGTGAAGCCATCAAATTAATTATTTTTATTTACCTCTTTTGTTTGTTTCCACCTATCATGCCCTCTGCTCCATCCTACTCTTTTCTCCTTCTTTCACGACAGGACATGTGTGTGCAAACACTACTTGGAAGGCAGGAACCTCCAAAGAAGTCTCTTTTGCAGTCGATTTATGTGCTTTGTTCCCAGAGCCTGCCTGTACCCACGAAGAGCAATGTAATCTGCCGGTCACGGGAGCAGGAAACGTTGACCTGGCACAGGATTTGCACATACAGGAAGCCGGATTGGATGTGGGAGCTCTAAAGGAGTAGAAAAAGGACTCCAGAGCGTTGATTTTTACCTCTGTCCTGGAAAACACCCTGACTCTAGTTGTCAAGATTCCTTTTAGTTTTTCTGCCCTCACTGGTCATGTGTAACCCTGGCCACTTCCTCTGGAGGATCAACCTGGTCCTCAACCCTCTCCAAAACTCACACTTCCCGTCCTAGACCGTGTACTATAAGAAATTGCAACCCTCTTACTATAACTGTCCATAACTCTAATTCAGCTCATTGGTATTATGGCATGTCATGGGAATTAAGGCTTTATATCTCAGGATTTGATGTTGGAACTATGTTCACCATTCAGAAAAAGGTCCTGGTCCCATGAAGCCCTCCTAAGCCAATAGGACCTCTAACTGATTTAGGTGACCCTATGTTCCAAAAACACCCAGACAGGGTCGATTTAACTGTCCCCCCACTCCTGGTTCCTAAATCTCAACTACAACGACAACATCTCCAACCCAGTCTGATGTCCATTCTGGATGGGGTGCATCACCTCCTTAATCTCACCCAGCCTAAACTAGCCCGAGATTGTTGGTTGTACCTGAAAGCAAAACCCCCATATTACGTTGGTTTAGGAGTAGAGGCCATGTTCAAGGTTAACTCTCTTTCTTGTCATACATGACCCCATGCCCTTACACTAGGAGACGTATCAGTGAACGCCTCCTAATTAGCAACAGCTATAACTTATCTGCTTCTCCCTTCAGGTCACCTGTAATCAATCTCTACTTACTTCCTTAAATGCCTCAGTTTCCTACCAGGCACCTAACAATACCTGGTTGGCTTGTACTTCAGGCCTCACTCGCTGCATCAACGGGACTGAACCCGGACCTCTCCTGTGTGTGTTGGTTCATGTACTCCCCCAGGTCTATGTGTACAGAGGGCCAGAAGGCATGTACTCCCCCAGGTCTATTGGCCAGAAGGGCAACTTCTTATTCCTCCCCCTAAATTGCATTCCAGGTTTCACCGAGCTGCCCCGCTCCTAGTACCCCTCCTGGCCGGCCTTAGCATAGCTGGGTCAGCAGCCATTGGCATGGCTGCTCTGGTTCAAGGAGAAACTGGACTAATGTCCCTGTCTCAGCAAGTAGATGCTGATTTAAGCAATCTCCAGTCAGCCATAAATATGCCACATACCCAAATAAAGTCTCTAACTGAAGTAGTTCTTCAAAACCGCTGAGGCTTAGATCTACTATTTCTCTCCCAAGGAGGATTATGTGCAGCCCTAGGATAGAGTTGCTGTTTCTATGCCAATCAGTCTGGAGTCATAAAAGATACCCTCCAAAGAGTTCAAGAAAATCTAGATAGACGCCAACAAGAACGAGAAAGTAACACCCCCTGGTATCAAAGCATGTTCAACTGAAATCCATGGCTAACTACTTTAATTACTGGATTGGCAGGACACCTTCTCCTCCTCTTGTTAAGTTTAATCTTCAGGACTTGTATATTAAATTGGTTCTTTAACTTTGTAAAGCAGCGCATAGCTTCTGTCAAACTTATGTATCTCAGAACCCAGGATAACCCCCTTGCTATAACTGAAGAATCAATGATTTGATTCCCCAAAACATGAGTGGGGAATGTGATACCCTACCCTGTTTTAACCTGAGTGACTCTCTCCTAGAAGAGATAGCCGGACAGACTCCATTTTAGTTTCTTCACTTGCAGCCCCCTTTACCTCCCTCCCTTAAGTGCATAACTAGTGTAAACCGACTCAAAGCACGTCCAGGAATGCACCTACTGATAAGATATTGAGGCAAGCTGCACCAGCAGCTCCTGGGGACGCGCGCGGTGGATGGCACCCAAAACCTCTGCATTTATCTCTTTGTGATAGTTTAAGCCCCTGCACCTGGAACTGGTTTTTTTTGTTGTTGTTGTTGTTTTGTAACTGCATTTGTAACCAATTACTTTTTTAACTTTTTGCCAGTTCTGCTTCTGTAAAAATTGCTTCAGCTAAATTCCCCCCACTCCCCTATTTAGACTACGGTATAAAAACAAAACCAGCCCCTTCCTCGGGGCTGAGAGAATTTTGAGCGTCAGCTGCCTCTCGGTCACTGGCTAATAAAGGACTCCTTAATTTGTCTCAAAGTGTGGCGTTTCTCTATAACTCCCTTGGTTACAACAGTAACAGCTGTTATTAACTGCCTTTAAAAATCTGTCCCATTTTTTTCCAGGTACTTAAAATATAAGTGCCAGTAAGTGGTTCTTATATATATTTTTTGGGTGGGGCGGAATTCATTTTCCTTGTCTTCTGATATTTTAAAAATCCATCGATTTTTCAAGATTGAAAAGAATTATAGCAAGCCGGGCGCGGTGGCTCACGCCTGTAATCCCAGTACTTTGGGAGGCCGAGGCGGGCGGATCACGAGGTCAGGAGATCGAGACCATCCTGGCTAACGTAGTGAAACCCCGTCTCTACTAAAAATACAAAAAATTAGCCAGACATGGTGGCAGGCATCTGTAGTCCCAGCTACTCGGGAGGCTGAGGCAGCAGAATGGCGTGAACCCGGGAGGCGGAGCTTGCAGTGAGCCGAGATTGTGCCACTGCACTCCAGCCTGGGCGACAGAGCAAGACTCAGTCTCAAAAAAATAAAATAAAATAAATTATAGTAAACACTTCATTCTTTTCTCTTTTTTTTGTCCCACCCATTCCTGCCCAACCAGCACTTCATTCTTTATAAAACTTTCTATAATGCTTTATTTGAATGTTACTATTATGTGCTTTCTAAAATGGTGTGAACTACCAAACTCATGGATTCTCACTAGGTTATCAGGCATACAGTAGTCTTTATCAGAATCAAATGAAACTTCATTAAAAAAAAGAAAACTACCAATATAGAAATTCTTGAGTATGATTCACATTTAACTGCTGGCACTATAATTTGTAGCTCTTTGATTCAGAATGTACATAGTACTCATGTTTTAGGTAATAGGTAATACAGTTTATTTTATTTTTTTTTTTGAGACAGAGTCTCGCTCTGTCACCCAGGCCAGAGTGCAGTAGCATAATCTCAGCTCACTGCAACCTCCGCCTCCTGGGTTCAAGCAATTCTCCTGCCTCAGCCTCCCCTGCCTTGGGATTACAGGCGCGTGCCACCACACCCAGCTAATTTTTGTATTTTTAGTAGAGATGGGCTGTCACCATTCACCACGTTGGCCATGCTGGTCTGGAACTCCTGACCTCAGGTGATCCGCCCACCTCAGCCTCCTAAAGTGTTGTGATTACAGCCGTGAGTCACCACGCCCAACCTAAAGTTTAAATTTTCCTTAAAAAAAAAAAAGTGTCCAAAGACCTAAAAGGGCTAAAACTAAAAAACTCTTAGAAGAAAATATAAAAATAAATCTTCATGACTTCAGATTTGGCAATGGGGACCATGGGGAGTGACTGCTAACAGGTATAGAGGTACAGGGTTTCTTGGGGGGTAATGAAAATATTCTAATATCTATTATGGTAATGATTGTACAATGTTGTAAACACGGTAAAAACCACTGAATTGTACACTTTAGATGAGTGAATTGTTATGTGTGATTTATATTTCAAAAGGTTTTTTAAAAAATTCTATAACATAAGCAGCTTGACACAGCTGAGACACTCACCTCTCTCTCAAATTCATCCTCCTCCTCCAAAAGATCATACACCTGCTCTAAAAGCTGAACTCCCAGGCCATGAATTACATCAGCTCTCAAGACTTCAACTAGTCTCCTGATCTTTTCAGAACCTGGCATGATAGCTAAAAGGCAACAACAAAGACAAAGGGAAAAATAAACACTTTTTTACCACTATAGCAAGAACACCACAATTTTTAAAAATTTTGCATTTTATTTTATTTTTATTTTATTTTTGAAACTGAGTCACGCTCTGTTGCCCAGGCTGGAGTGCAGTGGCACGATCTCGTCTCACTGCCCCCTGAGTTCATGCCATTCTCCTGTCTCAGCCCCCCGAGTAATTGGGACTACAGGTGCCTGCCACCACGCCTGGCTAATTTTTTGTATTTTTAGTAGAGACGGGGTTTCACTGTGTTAGCCAGGATGGTCTTGATCTCCTGACCTCGTGATCCGCCCGCCTCGGCCTCCCAAAGTGCTGGGATTGCAGGCGTGAGCCACTGCGCCTGGCCCATTTTTTTTTTTTTAAGTGACAGAGTCTTGTACTGTCACGGGGATGTAGTGCAGTGTGACCATAGCTCACTATATAGCCTCTAACTTCTGAGCTCAAGCAATCATCCTGCCTCAGCTTCCCAAGTAGCCAGAACTACAGGAATGCGCTACCACCTGCAACTAATTCTTAAATTTTTTGTAGTGATGGGGTCTATGTTGTCCTGGTTGGTCTTGAACTCCTGGCCTCAAGCAACCCTCCCACCTCGGTCTCCCAAAGCAGCGAGACTACAGGCATGATTATACCACACCAGGCCTTTTTTTTTTTTTTTTTTTTTTTTTTTTTTTCATTTCATTTGATTTTTTGAGATAAGGTCTTGCTCTGTCGCTCAGGCTGGAGTGCAATGGCATGCTCATGGCTCACTGCAGCCTCAACCTCCTGGGTTCAAGAAATCTTCTCACCTCAGCCTCCTGAGTAGCTGGGACTACAGGCATGGATCACTATGCCCGGCTAATTTTTGTATTTTTTGTAGACACAAGTTTTCATCATGTTGCCCAGGCTGGTCTCAAACTCCTGGACTCAAACAATCTGCCCTCCTCAGCCTCCCAAAGTACAGGCATGAGCCACCGCACCCAGCAGGCCTGTTTCTAAAAAAATCTTGATATACTAACATTCTTTTTTCCCTATGACAAGAGTTTGGTTTAATGACTTAAAATTTACATATGAACTTAAGCTTCACTACCATCTCTTAAACCTTAAAAACACCACAACTGTCTAACTTGAAGAAAAGTCACATGAAAAACCACAAACATTTATCTATTTATTTATTTTTAAAAATCAATTTTCATGTAACTTTTCAGGAATACCTCTGTTGCATAACACAGGATATACCTTTTACAGAGATATGCAAATGAAATAATTTTAAAAACACACAAAAAATTTACAGGCATTAGTTCCTTGTTTTGACATATTTCTCCAATAAACACATGCTCTCCAGTTTGTTGTAAAAGAATAAATTGGGCCAGGCGTGGTGGCTCACACCTGTGATCCCAGCACTTTCGGAGGCCAAGGTGGGAGGATCACCTGAAGTCAGGAGTTCAAGACCAGCCTGGCCAACATGGTGAAACCCCGTTTCTACCAAAAATACAAAAATTAGCCGGGCATGGTGGTGCATGCCTGTAGTCCCAACTACTCAGGAGGCTGAAGCAGGAGAATCTCTTAAACCCAGGAAGTGGAGGTTGCAGTGAGCCAAGATCACGCTACTGCACTCCAGCCTGGGTGACAGAGTGAGACTCCATCTAAAAAACAAAAAATAATAATAAGCTGATCACCTGAAGGCAGCTCTTTAAAATGGATTTCCTCTGCCTCTTCTGCAACCTTCCCATGAAGTATCAGTGTGTCCCGATATTTCCGATGAAGTTTGAATTCTGACACTGGGTTTGCTACTGGGACATCTTCACAGCTCTCTTTAGAATCCAGTTTCAGAGTCTGAGTCATCAATTGTACCAAGGCATTAATTTCATTTGTCTGACCTTTCCTGGGGGAAAAAAGTATCCCTCTGTTATTTAATTGACTTCATGAGAATTTTTTGTTAAAAAATTACATACAAAACCTTTAGGGAGTTCTGCTTTGAAATGTCCAAGTAAGCTCCTACAGGCTGACCTGACACTTCCGCAAATAACAACTACAAACTCTAGACAAAATACAAAACTCAACAATGTAAAGGCAATGCAGAATAAACAAAATCTGCAGGCAGATCTGGGAGAACAGGCAACACCTTTTAGCCTGAGGGCAGGCCATGGGCAGATCAAAGTACAAGAGAACTCACAATCTTTCTGGCCTACAGAAAGGAGAGTTCAGAACAACCACTGTCACTAGAAAGTGACAGAGGAACCTTGGAGACAGTCTAAAAGAAACAGCCCCAGATTCTGTGTATAAATTCTGTCTGTTTCAAAGTAACTTAACCACACTCAAGTACAAAGCTCAAGAACAGTTAAACACAAAATACCAGCTTCCAATGAGGTAAAATTCAGTATCTAGCATCCCATCAAAAATAACCAGATATGCAAAGAAGCAGGAAAATATCATGCATTTGTGAAGAGAAAGAAATCAGTTAATAGAAACATACCCAAATATGACACAACCGATAGAATAAATGAGGACATTAAAATGGGTAGTATAAATATATTCCATATGGCCAAGGTAGAAGAAAACATGAACATGTTAAGGAGACACAAAGATATTTAAAAAAGACTCAAATCAAATTTCTAGAAATGAAAGATACAATATATTAAATACACGGGATAGGATTAACAGATTAGACATTGCAGAAGAAAAGATTAATTAACTCAAAGACATAGCAATAGAATCTATGAAATGTGAAACAGAAAAAAAGTAAAAATAGGCCAGGTGCAGCGGCTCATGCCTGTAATACCAGCATTCTGGGAGGCCTAGGCAGGCGGATCACCTGAGGTCAGGAGTTCAAGACCAGCCTGGCCAATATGGTGAAACCCGGTTTCTACTAAAAATACAAAAATGTAGCCGGGCGTGGTGGCGCGTGCCTGTAATCCCAGCTACTTGGGGCCGGGGGGTCGGGGGGCTGATACAGGAGAATCGCTTGAACCCGGGAGGCAGAGGTTGTAGTGAACCGAAATCATGCCACTGCACTCCAGTCTGGACGACAGAGTAAGACTCTGTCTTAAAAAAAAATAAAAATAAAAAATAAAATATTTTTTAAAAACATAAAAATAAACAGAGCATCAGTGAGCTGTGGCACAAATTTAAGGAGTCTAATATACATGTAATTAGAATCTCTAAGAGGGCAGAAAGAAGTAAAAAAAAAAAAAAATGTGAAGAAATAATGGCCAGGCCAGGCGTGGTGGCTCACGCCTGTAATCCCAGCACTTTGGGAGGCCGAGGCGGGTGGATCACAAGGTCAGGAAATCGATACCATCCTGGCTAATATGGTGAAACCCCATCTCTACTAAAAATACAAAATATTAGCAGGGTGTGGTGGTACGCGCCCGTAGTCCCAGCTACTCGGGAGGCTGAGGCAGGAGAATTGCTTGAACCTGGGAGGCAGAGGTTACAGCGAGCCGAGATCGCGCCACTGCACTCCAGCCTGGGTGACAGAGCAAGACTCCATCAAAAAAAAAAAAAAGAAAGAAAATAAAGTCAGACATGTGCATAGAAGACACATTTTTGGCCAGATTAGTTCACACCTGTAATCTCAGCACTTTGGGAGGCCAAGGCGGGCGGATCACCTTAGGTCAGAAGTCGAGACCAGCCTGACCAACATGGAGAAACCCTGTCTCTACTAAAAATACAAAATTAGCCAGACGTGGTGGCACATGCCTATAATCCCAGCTACTAGGGAGGCTGAGGCAGAAGAATCGCTTGAACCCAGGAGGCAGAGGTTGCAGTGAGCTGAGATCATGCCACTGCACTCCAGCCTGGGCAACAAGAGCGAAACTCCGTCTCAAAAAAAAAAGAGACTTTTTAGCTCCAGCATATGCCACAAACCATTTATAATTTTATCAGTGGGAATACTAGAGATCTGAATACTACTGAAAATGTACATTTAATATTCATTAAAAAAGAAATAGTTTATAAAGGGAGACAGAAAAACAAGAACTTACCCTTCCCTGCAATCCCCATCTGACTTATCAGTTGAACTTGTAGAAGAACTTAACTCATCCTCAGACAGACAATGAATCAGTTTCCTTTCCTATTAAATGTTTGGAAGACATAAAATTCTACATGACAACACAACCAGAATGTGATACTTGAACCAGTCTTAGATGCAACAACTAGACACAATATGTTCCTAGGTGCAATACAGCAGGAGAATCTAACAAATACAAAAATTGTTACCATATGATTTGTGGCCAAAAAAAGCACAAAAACTGATTTTACCCACATGATATCCCAGTTCACTCATAAAGTTCACAAGAATAACTGAATAACATCAGGTGAAGTTTTGTTTTTGTTTTTATTTGTTTTGTTTTTTGTTTTTTTTTTTGAGACAGAGTCTTGCTCTGTTGCCAGGCTAGAGTGCAGTGGCACGATCTTGGCTCATAGCAACTTCTGACTCTCTGGTTCAAGCAATGTTCCTTCCTCAGTCTCCCAAGTAGCTGGGATTACAGGCACATGCCACAATGCCCAGCTAATTTTTGTATTTTTAGTAGAGACAGGGTTTCACCATGTTGGCCAGGGTGTCTTGAACTCCTGACCTCATGATCCGCCCACCTCGGCCTCCCAAAGTGCTGAGATTACAGGCATGAGCCACCGCGCCTGGCCAAGGTGAAGTTTTACAAGAGTCTCAGCTGTGAAGAAATTTCCAGAGGAGAATGGATGGCTAGTTCCGGCGTATCAACTCCTAAGCAGAGAGCTTGTCTATAGGAATGTTGGCATTTTAAATTACCTAAGCAACCTCAGCTTGCCTGTTTTTTTGTTTTTGTTTTTGTTTTTTGATACAGGGGTGTCACTATGTTGCCCAGGCCACAAACTCCTGGGCTCAAGCGATCCTCCTTCCTTGGCCTCCCAAGTAGCTGGGATAACAGCCACAAGCCACCATGCCCAGCTTCAGCTTGCTCTTAATGTGAGACTGTTAAAGTGCTTTAAAGGATTACCTAATAATACACATAGACCTTACAACTCTGGGATATGGAAGGCAGCCTCTATTAGTGAAATAACTAAATGATACAGTTAAAGAAATAATACATCCATTACTTTCAAAGAGCAGGAAAAATTCCCAGAGTATTATACAGAGAGGTGAACATGGGTTAGAAACCTAGCAATTACCCATTTAGCCAAAAGACGGTGTCCCTACATCATCTACAGGCAAGAAGGTAAACTATATTGACACAAATAAGAAATTGAGGAATGATTAGCAAGTGAGACTCGAATCTGGCAACACAGATGGGTATGTTGGTATCACAACAGACTGAGCAAAGTGTTGCCTAGTGCAAGTCCTTAGAAAGTTCTGTTTACTTATTTATTTATATTTTTGAGACAGGGTCTTGCTCTGTCACCCAGGCTAAAGCACAGTGGTATGAACACAACTCACTGTAGCCTTGACCTCCTGGGCTCAAGTGATTCTTCCACCTCAGCCCCCTGAGTTGCTGGGACTACAAGTGTGCGCCACCTTGCCAGGTAATTTTTTTTTTTCTTAGAGACAGGGTCCAACTATGTCGCCCAGATTGATCTCAAACTCCTGGGCTAAAGCAATCTTCTCACCTTGGCCTCCCAAAGTGCTAGTATTATAAGCATGAGCCACTGCATCAGGCCAGGAAGTCCTGTTTTAAAGACCAACCTAAGAAATATCTTCAATTAGGCTATCAATTGTTTATAAGAGTACCTGAAAATTTTATTTCCTTAATGGGTCAAACATAATCCTTTTGACTATTATTTACCAGTTCCTTTCTTTATCAAGAGTGAAAAGATGTAATAAGCTGGCCCTGTCCCAAAAATAAATGGAGCTGACATTTAAAAGGTTTACTGCATTAGGCCTGCCAGAAGTAGACTGTCCACCTTCTTCTCTCTTAGGAGTACGTAATGCACCTGAGTGACACTGCAGTCAGAGGAGAGCCGTCGGGCGGGCATGGGCTGGTCTTCCTCCTGGGGTTTTCCTTGCCCTGCTACACTCAGAGAAGCTTTCCTCACTGAAGGGCCTGAAAAAGCAAACATCCCCAGTAGTTGTTTGTGGTGGGCTGCCCCAATTGAAGAGGGCTTTGTATTTGGTATGGAATGTACCCCAGCAAGAGCTGGCCCAAAAGTAACTCAAACAGCATATTTATCATTACTCTGGTGTCTGACACTTCAGTTGAAATCTTAGCTCTGGGTCCACCAGTTCTGTGACCTTGGGCAAGTTACTTAACTCCTCAGAGCCTCTGTTTCCTCAGCTGCAAAATGGCGATAATAATGCATATTTTGGCAATTACTGTAAATATTTTTACCCTTAATATGTTTACCATAATGCCTAAGACATGGTCAGCATTCAATAAATGGAAACTGCTAGTACTATCTTTAAAAAATAATAAAAAGAATGATAGCCCTCAGCCTAGGGCAGCACCACTCCCCCAGCAACCTCCCTCTGTTCCTAAGATGAGAGCAACTCACTGACCAGTGGACACTGGACATGGAAAAAAGTTAAACATTCACTTGATTTCTGGTCTGAAACCTCCCAAGAGTTACTGCCACTCAAAACCCTCTTGTTATTTCTTTAATATCCCCTTCCTCTGATATTTGAACCAGATTCAACACCCTATGATGATTTCTTAAAAGGCTTGACTAAGAAATTTCAAAATCTTTTCCAAATCAATTTCCTACATGTTTTACTGCTGCTGGAAAGTTTCAACCTCTCATAGTCAGAACCAGTGCTTCTGTCCACGGACCATACCTCTAACTGCCAATTAGATGAAGAAAATAAGTCAACTTTACCTGAAGAGGACATTTCTTCCTGTGACTGCTTTAGTCGCCTCCTCTCTCTGGCTGATAATGGTCGATCCTTTAAAAAAAAGTCACAGAGTCACTTCCATTCCTACTTGCTATTCTTATAACACCTACAATCCATAATGTATCATCCAGCATTAAGAAAAAGGTCTCAGCTGGATGCGGTGGCTCACACTTGTAATCCCAACACTCTGGGAGGCTGAGGTGGGCAGATCACAGGGTCAGGAGTTCGAGGCCAGACCGACCAACATGGTGAAACCCCATCTCTACCAAAAATACAAAAATTAGCCGAGCATGGTGGCGCATGCCTATAATCCCAGCTACTCGGGAGGCTGATGCAGGAGAATTGCTTGAATCTGGGAGGCGGTGGTTGCAGTGAGCTGAGATCGCACCATTGTACTCCAGCCTGGGTGACAGAGCAAGACCAAAAAAAAAAAAAGGTCTTGCACTGGACTTACAGGAGTGTCCACTGGAAACCAGCCCACAGCAGGGTTATAGCTACTAGTGAGAAATGATCACAGCCCTCGTTTCTGGGAGGTGCTCATTTTTAGAAGGGCAAATGGGGACTTTCACATTTGCCATATTCAGAATCTACTTGGTTTCTGTTTGTTTTTTGTTTTTTTTTTTTTTGAGATGGAGTCTTGCTCTGTAGCCCAGGCTGGAATGCAGTGTGGCCCGATCTCAGCTCACTGCAAGCTCTGCCTCCCAGGTTCATGCCATTCTCCTGCCTCAGCCTCCCGAGCAGCTGGGACTACAGGCGCCCACCACCACGCCTGGCTAATTTTTTGTATTTTTTAGTAGAGACGGGGTTTCACCGTGTTAGCTAGGATGGTCTCCATCTCCTGACCTCGTGATCCGCCTGCCTTGGCCTCCCAAAGTGCTGGGATTACAGGCGTGAGCCACCTTGCCCAGCCTACTTGGTTTCTTTAATTCACTGGAAGTGACCATCTCTGAAACCACAGAATCTGTCCATTTCAATCAAAGATTCTGCTGAGGCTGGGTGCGGTGGCTCACACCTGTAATCCTAGCACTTTGGGAGGCTGGGGCAGGTGGATCATCTGAGGTCAGGAGTTTGAGACAAGCCTGGCCAACATGGGAAAACCCCATCTCTAATAAAATACAAAAATTAGACAAGCGTGGTGGCTGGCACCTGTAGTTCCAGCTACTGGGGAGGTGGAGGCAGGAGAATTGCTTGAACCCAGGAGGCAGAGGTTGCAGTGAGCCAAGATCATGCCACTGCACTCCAGCCTGGGCAACAGAGTGAGACTCCATCTCAAAAAAAAAAAGATTCTGCCGAGATCACATCTGTCCCATCTGTCCCTTCCAGTGTTTGGCAAGAAGCAGAGCTAAGATGTTTTAATACAAAACTTCATAATATACACAAGATTTTACAACCAATAAGAAGGTTTTGGAGGGTTTTTGCTTTGAGACAGCTTCTCGCTCTGTACAGTGCTGTACCAGGCTGAAGTACAGTGGCATGATCTCGGCTCACCTTAACCTCTGCCTTTTGGGTTCAAGCCATCCTCCCACCTCGGCCTCATAGTAGCTGGGACTATAGGCACGTGCCACCACATTTTACTAATTTTTAAATTTTTTGTAGAGACAAGGTCTCACTGTATTGCCCAGGCCAGTCTTGAACTCCTGGGCTCAATTGATCCTCTTGTTTCAGCCTCCCAAAGTACTCGGATTACATGCATGAGCCACCACACCTGACTATAAGGTTTTTAAAAATCCAACATATGTTCCCACAAACCTTTGATGATGACATCGCACTGCTCCTTGAACTGCTCACAGACCCAGTGACCACTCTACACTGGTTTTCAGCCTCTTTTTGTATTGATGTGATATCCACTTTCCCAACAATGGGATGAGAAGGCAAAACTCGAGGAGGCGACTCTTGGAACTTAAATAATTAAAAAAGAAGATTAACAGTTTCATATACAGCCCCTTCCAATGTTCCCCTATCAGCAGGTTCCCTATGTATGTGTCAGTGGTTTGCTCTTAAAACCTTCAAAACATTGCATTTTTTTTTTAAAGACTCTGCCAAAAGTCAATCATCTAAGAAGCTTATGGAGAGGATACCTGTTGAAGTCATTTCAAGAAATGAGATGTCAACATGATTCTGTGGAGAAGCTGAAGAAAGAACTGTTCATCAGTACAATGCAGATGGGGTCAAAGGTTTACCCTCATTAGCCTATTCATTTAACTTTCAAAATGATCTGTCCATCTTTGCTGGAGAAGATAAAATCCTTACTCTCTTCCAACTCACTGATATTTGAAAACTAGTATTTAGCATCTTGCCATTGTCACCCTTCTGTATATGTTCCTTGCATTTCTTATGTGCCTTTTGGCAATTGTTAATTGCTCTAAATAGAAACTGAGCTTCCCAAAGTCCACCTCCCAAACCAAAGCAAAATGACTTACAGCAAAGAGATCTCTGCCAACCTGTCTCTTTTCCCCTCTGTGCTCAGTCTGTTCTCTCTTCTTCTGCCGTCGCTGTCGAGACAGAGAAGGTTCAGACCCAGAGTTGTGCGGCTGTAAATCTGGGTGGATTCTGCCCTGTTTTTCTATAGTACATTCACCAGTAACTTGATCCTTAAAAATAATAAAATGACATTTTAAAGTATAGCAGCAACCTGGTACTAAAGTAAGCTGCCCATAAAAAGTGGTTTTTGTCTTTAGCATGAAAACTTTCCTCAAAAAACTGTTTCCATATTGTAATTTAAAGTGTTACCTGGAAGTTGTAAATTGACCCATCACAATGTAAAGTTCACAATATGGTCCAAATATAACAATGCAGAATTGAATACAGAGGTATACATAAACTTCCTCTTAGAAAACAAAAGAAGTGGGCCAGGCATGGTGGCTCACGCCTGTAATCCCAGCACTTTGGGAGGCCGAGGTGGGCGGATCATGAGGTCAAGAGTTCAAGATCAGCCTGGCCAACATGGTGAAACCCCATCTCTACTAAAAATACAAAAAGTAGCCGGGCATGGTGGTGGGCACCTGTAATCCCAGCTACTCAGGAGGCTGAGGCAGGAGAACTGCTTGAACCTGGCGGGGGGAGGTTGCAGTGAGCCAAGATCGTGCCATTGCACTTCAGCCTGGGCGACAGAATAAGACTCCATCTCAAAAAAAAAAAGAAAAGAAAAAGAAAACAAAAGCAGTTACAATTTCAAATTTTTGTGCAATAAAATTAAATCATAATGCAACAGTTAAAAAATAATAATTATAAAAGGAAGCAAACGCACACAAAAACTCAAAATAATGAATAGTCTTTTGAACATCCAAATGGTCAAACTCTCCATGCCTACTTTTTTTTTTTTTTTTTTGAGACGGAGTCTCACTCTGTCGCCCAGGCTGGAGTGCAGTGGCGCAATCTCGGCTCACTGCAAGCTCCGCCTCCCGGGTTCACGCCATTCTCCTGCCTCAGCCTCCCGAGTAGCTGGGACTACAGGCGCCCGCCACCTCGCCCGGTTAGTTTTTTTTTATATTTTTTAGTAGAGACGGGGTTTTACCGGGTTAGCCAGGATGGTCTCGATCTCCTGACCTTGTGATCCGCCCGTCTCAGCCTCCCAAAGCGCTGGGATTACAGGCTTGAGCCACCGCGCCTGGCCCATGCCTACTTTTAAACACAATGAAAATGAGAAGAAGCTGAGTGTGGTAGCTCACACCTATAATCCCGACACTCTGGGAAGCCAAGTCAGGAAGACCACTTGAGGCCAGGAGTTCAAGACCAGCCTGAGCAACACAGAGAGACCTCCATCTCCATTAAAAAAAAAAAAAAAAAAAGTCAGATATGGTGATATGCCAGGTAGTCAGAGCTACCCAGGAGGCTGAGGTGAGAGGATTGCATGAGTCCAGGAGGTCAAGGCTACCATAAGCCGTGATCATACCACTGTACTCTAGCCTGGGTGACACAGCAAGAGTGTCTCAAAAAATATATATATATATTTATTTATTTATTTATGTAATGTTTTGAGACAGTGTCTCGCTCTGTTGCCCAGGCTGGAGTGTAATGGCATGATCTCGGCTCACTGCAATCTCCGCCTCCTGGGTTCACACCATTCTCCTGCCTCCGTCTCCTGAGTACCTGGGACTACAGGCGCCCACCACCATGCCCAGCTAATTTTTTTTTGTATTTTTAGTAGAGACGGGGTTTCACCATGTTAGCCAGGATGGTCTCAATCTTCTGCCCTTGTGATCCGCCCGCCTCAGCCTCCCAAAGTGCTGGGATTACAGGTGTGAACCACTGCACCTGGCCAAAATCTTTTAATAAATTAAAAAGATAATAAGGAGTTGTCTTTCTCAAAATGAATGTTTATTTGCAATGCTGACAGGCAAAGACAAAATGCCGACATCAGTTATCAAAATGTTCTGATTTTTTTCTCTTCCTCCAAATAAAAATAATTGTTTTAATTAAATCACTTAAATTGTGGTTAATCTAAAACTACTGGTTTGATTCAATTATTTTTAAAAATCTCCTCATAACTTTTCATAAGTTTTCCATTCTGAAAATGAACAAATGTTTTAAATGAATTCCAATTTAATAAAAATTTATTTCCCAAGTAAACATCAGTTATTTGGATGTACCCTAAAAAGTACAATAAAAAGACCATTGAGCTTGGCATTAGATGGAGTCTTATGTGAGAAACTTAATTGTCCTGAGCCCAGTTTCATCATTTAAAAATGGATCTAATACCCACAGCCATATTGTATTACTATTTGAGGATTAGCTGAGAGAATACACTAAAAGTACTTAGGACTATGTCTGATGCATATTAATTAGATGCTCAGCCAGGCGCAGTGGCTCACACCCGTAATCACAGCACTTTGGGAGGCCAAGGTGTGAGGATGATTTGAGCCCAGTCAGGAGTTTGAGACCAGCCTAGACAACATAGGGAGACCCTGTCTCTACAAAAAATAGAAAAAATTAGCCAGGCATGCTGGTGTATGCCTGTAGTCCCAGCTACTCGGGAGGCTAAGGTTGGAGGATCACTTGAGCCTAGGACACCGAGGCTGCAGTGAGCTGAGATCACATCACTGCACTCCAGCCTCAGCAACAGAGCAAGGACCTGCAGAAGAGGAAGAGGGGAGGGGAGGGGAGGGGAGGATGGGAGACAATATTTTCTTTTTTTTGTTTTTTTGAGATGGAGTCTTGCTCTGTTGCCCAGGCTGGAGTGCACTGGGGCAATCTCAGCTCACTGCAACCTCTGCCTCTCAGGTTCAAGCGATTCTCCTGCCTCAGCCTCCTGAGTAGCTGGAATTACAGGCGTGCACCACCACGCCCGGCTAATTTTTGTATTTTTAGTAGAAACAGGGTTTCACTATGTTGGCCAGGCTGGTCTTGAACTCCTGACCTCCTGCCTCAGCCTCCCACAGTGCTGGGATTACAGGTGTGAGCCACCATTCCTGGCCAGGAGACAATATTTTCAAATGCTGTATCTAATAAGGAACTGGTATCTAGAATAAAGAACTCTCAGAATTCAATAATAAAATGATAAACCAATTTTAAAATTGGCAAAGAATTCAAATAGTTTATTTCTCCAAAGGAGAAATACTGGCCAAAGTATATAAAAAGATGCTTAAGGCTGGGCATGGTGGCTCACACCCATAATCCCAGCACTTTGGGAGGCCGAGGCAGGCTGATCACTTGAGGTCAAAGTTTGTGACCAGCCTGACCAACATGGTAAAACCCCATCTCTGCTAGAAAAACTACAAAAATTAGCTGGACCTGGTGGCACATGCTTGTAATCCCAGCTATTCAGGAGGCTGAGGCTGGAGAATCACTTGAACCCAGGAGGCACAGGTTGCTGTGACTGTTACAGGGTACTGGGTTTCTTTTTGGTTTGATGCAAATATTCTTCTATGTTTAAACTGATACACAGAATTACTGATTTTCCTAAAATGACAAGAGAACCCACACATTTGTAACTGCACTTTCAGTCTTCTCTCCAAAACCAACATCTCATGTGTGCATATCACTCACCTGGTCCTTTGGCTTTTGTTCTTTGATTAGGGGCTGCAGAGGCTTCACTGGTTCATTTTTTTCCCCAGCGACAATGTCAGAGGACCATGTGGGAATCAGGTTTTCAGGCTGGGCACTGGATTTACTGTTGTTCTGAAGCATCTCCTCTTTCACTTGAGAAATACTGCATATACCTCCTAACTCATTAGAGGCATCCAAGTGTCTTGGCTGATTCTCCTCAACGAAGTCATCACTCACTGAATCCCTCCCTTTTGCAGGTAAGATGTCAATATTTACCTTACTGATTGTGGCTAGTTCTGTGGTATTGCTAAAGTCCTGTTTGCAGGTATGGGCTTTCAGACTGGCAGGTGACTTCAAGGGACCAGAGGCCCTGGGTTTCTCCTGGGACAAACATTTGCCTTCATCCTGAATGAAAACATGTTTGGAAATTATTATAGCACTCCTCATATCTTATACCAAATCAACTCAAAATGCAACAAGAGGTTCCTCAAAAAGTTAAACATGGAATTACCATATGACCCAGCAATTCCACTCATAAGTATGTAATCTAAGGAACTGAAAGCAGGGACTCAAGTAAATATTTGTACACCAATGTTTATAGTAGCTTTATTCAAAATAGCCAAAAGGCGGAAACAACCCAAAAGTCCATCAGCAGATGAAGGGATAAACAAAATGTGGTAAATACTGCCGGGCACGGTGGCTCACGCCTGTAATCCCAGAAGTTTGGGATGCCGAAGCAGGTAAATCACTTGAGGCCAGGAGCTTGAGACCAGCCTGGGCAACATGGTAAAATCCCATCTCTACTAAAAATACAAAAATTAGCCAGGTGTGGTGGTGCATGTCTGTAGTCCCGGTTACTTGGGAGGCTGATGCAGAAGGATTGCTTGAGCCTAGGAAGTGGAGGTTGTAGTGAGCCGAGAGCCCGCCATTGCACTCCAGCCTGGGCAACAGGAGTGAAACGCTGTCTCAACAACAACAAAAAAGGCAAATACATACAATGGAATATTTCTAATCCATAAAAAGGAATGAAGTTCTGATACATGCTAAAACATGAATGACCCTTGAAAACATGCTAAGTAAAATAAGCCAGGCCAGGTGTGGTAGCTCACGCCTATCATCCCAGTACTTTGGGAGGCAGAGGCAGGAGGATCACTTGAGCTCAGGAGTTTGAGACCAGCCTAGGCAACATGGCGAAACCCCATTTCTATAAAAAAAAAAATACCAAAAAATTAGCTAGGCATGGTGGCAAGTGCCTGTAGTCCCAGCTACTTGGAAGCCTGAGTGGGAGGACTGCTTGAGCCGGGAGGTCAAGGCTGCAGTGAGCCGTGATCACACCACTGCGCTCCAGCCTAGTTGACACAGTGAGGTCCTGTCTCAGAAAAGAAAAGAAATAAGCCAGGACAGGGCAGGGAGCAAGCAGGGGCAGGAATGGCACTGTGGCCAGAGATGCTGCTGGGCCGCAAAGGTGATGGGCAGCTGGGAACTCTACATTGAAGGTGCAGAGGTGAGGCACAATGCCCGGAAGGCTGGTAAATTGAATGCTGAGGACAGAAGAGTCTGATGACATAATACTGAATTTCTTTGTTTGGAGCACACATTATGAACTCTTTCGGGAGCATGTCTACAAGCTCTATATGGAAATGATCTGAAGCTGAAAACATTGGCAGGGGATGTGAAAATCAGTCTTCCATGAACTATGCCAAAGAAACAGCTGCCTTCTATTCCCAAAAATGCTTTGCCCATAACTAAGCCTACACCTTCTGCCCCAGCAGCAGAGTCAATAAATGGCATGCATGCTTCCTATAGACTCGTCCACCTGAAATACTCTCTTCTTGCAGAATTTACCTTGGTTGTGGAGCAGATGTTATTAGGTGTCTATGTGCAGCCATCTTATCCCTCTGTATTAAAGTGGTTTGGACTAATAATCATAGAGCATAGACTTTATCAAGATGGCATATTTAGGCAGGCGTGGTGGCTCACACCTATAATCCCAGCACTTTGAGAGTCTGAGGTGGGTGGAGCACTTGAGGTTAGGAGTTCGAGACCAGCCTGGCCAACATGGTGAAACCCGTCTCTAACCAAAAATATAACAATTTGCTGGTGTGGTGCCACGTGCCTGTAATCCCAGCTACTCAGGAGGCTGAGGCAGGAGATCACTTGAACCCAGGAGGCAGTTTGCCATAAGCCAAGATCGCACCACCACACTCTAGCCTGGGCAACAGAGTGAGACTCTGTCTCAAAAAAAAAAAAAAAAAAAAAAAAGATGGTGTATTTAAGTTTGCAGTTTACATCCATCCCTGATTACTATCCAGATGGTGACTATCCATGCTTGATATTCGGTATTCCCATCTTTCACCTACTAGGTGATGCCACCTCAGATGAACTGGATGTGAAGAGAGCATTTGGAAAATGGAGGTGGAATCATAATCAAATTTGGCAAGTACTAACAATATGCAGGGAGAGTTTTCTACAAGATTGATAAAAAAGCCCCCAAACCCAGAGGCTGCAATACTGTATGAGAAAGATGTTCAGCTTTTTAAGAGTAAAGTGGTTGACAGTGTTAAGGTGTGCATTACTCATTTGTCTGACCAATCTAAAATAGAAGACTCATGCAATTAGCTTTTCTCCATGGAATCCTTCTGTACATGATGAAGCCAAAGAAAAGATGCTGACTCAGAAAAGCCTGAAGAACAGCACAATAAGTGTTCGTGTCGCCGGCCTGTCATAGGTAAAGACTGGCTCAGTACAATCTTTCAGTAAAGAAGAGAAAACAGTAGCAACTTAAGAGATGGTGAATCTGGTACACCATGCACTTTCCTGCTGGACTCTGGACTAGTTCAAGCTGACCAATGGCAATGGACAGCCTGAAAAACAAAACCGTGTTAACAATGAAAAAAAAAGAAAGAAAGAAGCCAGAAACAGAAAGACAAATATTGTATGATTCCACTTATATAATATATCTAGAACAGGCAAATCCAAAAAGACAAAAAGTAGATGAGAGCTTACCAGGGCCTGAGGATAGAGGGAATAGAAAATTATTGCTCAATGGGTACAAAGTTTCTGTTTGAAATGATGGAAACATTTTGGAAGATAGTGATGATGGTTGCATGATACTGTGAATGTAATTAAGGACAATGAATTATATGCTTCATATGTAGTATTAGACCACATTAACAAAATGAAGGAAAAAAAACACATGATCAACACCCTTATGTGATGATTTTCAGGGCTGTGGAAAAAAAAAAACACCTTTTCATGATTAAAAAAAAATTCAACAAACTAGGAATAGAAAAAAAAATTCATAACATAATAAAAGTCACATATGAAACACCCACAGTAAACATCACATTTAATGGTAAAAGACTGAAAGCTTTTCCTCTAAGATCAGGAACAAGGCAAGAATACCTGTTTTCACCTCTTCTAGTCAATATAGTACTAGAAGTTCTAGTCAGAGCAATTAGGCAAGGAAAAAAAATAAGGCATCAAAATTAGAAAAGAAGAAGTAAAATTATCTCCTTTTGCAGATGATATAATCTTGTGTGTAGGAAACCCTAAAGATTCCACACGCAGAAACTGTTAGAACTAATAAATGAACTGAGCAAGGTAGCAAGAGGCAAAGTCAACATACAAAAAACAGTTGCATTTCTATATACTAACCATAGACAGTCTGAGAAGCAAATTACAAAAACAATTCAATTTACAACAGTATCAAAAATAAAAAAATAATTAGGAATTAACCAAAAGGTGAAAGAAGACTCACATAGTGAAATCTACAAAATGGTGTTGAAAGAAATGTAAAGAAGACATAAATAAATGGAAACACATCCCATGCTCATGGATTGGAAGACTGTTAACATTGTTCGTTCTTTTTTTCTCTTTTTACAATTGGGCATCTCCTTGAGAAGAGCTTAATATTGTTAATATATTAATACTACCCAGAGCAATCTATAGATTCAATCTAATCCTTATCAAAATCCCAATGACATTCTTTGGAAAAACAGAAAAATCCATCCTAAAATTCAATGGAATCTCAAGGGCTCCCAAATAGCCAAAACAATCTTGAAAAAGAAGAATAGAGATGGAGGACTCATGCCTCACGATTTTAAAACATACCACAAAACTACATTATCAAAACAGTGTAGTATTCGTATAAAAACGGACATTATACATAGAAACCAATGGAACAGAATGGGGAACCCAGAAATAAACCTTCACATGTGTGGGCAAATGATTTTTGACAAAGGTGCCATGATCATTTAATGAGGAAAGGACAGTTTTTTCAATAAATAGTGCTGAAAAAGCTAAATACCCATATACAGAAGAATGAAGTCAGACCTTTACCTAATACCATATAAAAAATTAACTCAAAATGAACAAAAAACCTAAATGTAAGACCTAAAACTATAAAACTCTCAGAAGAAGACATAAGGCAAAGGCTTCACAACATTGGATTTGGCAATGATTTTCTGGATAGGACACCAAAGGCACAGGCAACACAAGAAAAAGACATATTGGATTTCACAAAAATTAAAAATTTTGTGCATCAAAAAATACTATCAACAGAGTAAAAAGGTAACCCACAAAACGAGAGAAAATATTTGCAAATCATGTATGTGATAAGGGATTGACATCTTGAATATATGGAGAACTCCTAAAATTCAACAGCAAAAAATGAACGACCCAACTCAAAAATGGGCAAAGGACTTGAATAGACATTCCTCCCAAAAAGATATGCAAATGGCCAAGAAGCACACAAAAAATGCTCAATATAACTAATCACTAGGGAAATGCAAATCAAAACTACAATGAGATACCATCTCATGCCCATTAGGATGGCTATTACTAACAAATCCCAGAAAATAACAAGTACTGGTGAGAATGTAGAGAAACTGGAACCTTTGTGTACTGCTGATAGGAATGTAAAATGATACAGAAGTTGTGGAAAACAGTACTACAGGTCCTCAAAAAGTTAAAAATAGAATTACCATGTGGTCAGCAGTTCCACTTCTGGTTATATACCCAAAAAAACAGAAATCAGGGTCTTGGCTGGGAGCAGTGGCTCACATCTGTAATTCCAGCACTTTGGGAGGCTAAGGCGGGTGGATCACTTGAGGTCAGGAGTTTGAGACCAGCCTGGCCAACATGGTGAAATCCCATCTCTACTAAAAATACAAAAATTAGCTGGGCGTGGTGGCACATGCCCATAATCCCAGCTACTTGGGAGGCCGAGGCAGGAGAATCGCTTGAACCCAGGAGGTGGAAGTTACAGTGAGCCAAGATTGTGCCATTGCACTCCAACCTGGGTAACAGTGAGACTCCGTCTCAGAAAAAAAGAAAAAAGAAATCAGGGTCTCAAAGAGATACGTGTACACCCATGTTCATAGCAGCATTATTCACAATAGCAAAAAGGTGGAAACAACACAAATGTACATCTGCAGATGAACCAGATAAACAAAATGTGGGACACATACAACATAATATTATTCAGCATTAAAAAGGAAGGAAATTCTGACATATGTCACAACATGGATGAACCTTGAGGATATTATGTGAAACAAAACAAGGCAGTCATGAAAGACAAATACTGCATGATCCCCTTATCTAAGGTACTTATACTAGTCAAAACCATGGAGATAGAAAGTAGAATGGTGGGCCAGGCACAGTGGCTCACACCTGTAATCTCAGCACTTTGGGAGGCCGAGGCAGGTGGATTGCCTGAGGTCAGGAGTTCGAGACCAGTCTGGCCAACATGTTGAAACCCTGTCTCTACTAATAACACAAAAAAATTAGCTAGATGTCGTGGCATGCACCTGTAATCCCAGCTATTCGGGAGGCTGAGGCAGGGGAATTGCTTGAACCAGGGAGGTGGAGGTTGCAGTGAGCCGAGATCATGCCACTGCACTCTAGCCTGGGCGACACAGCAAGACTCCATCTCAAAAAAGAAGAAGAAGAAGAAGAATGGTAGAACAGTGACTGCCAGGGACTGGGGTAGTAGGGAATGGGGAGATACTGTTTAAAGAGAACAGAGTTCAGTTTTACAATATGAGAGTCATGAAGATGAGTGATGATGGCTGCATAACATTATAGATGTATTTAACGCCACTGAATTGTACATTTACAGACGATTAAGATAGTAAATTTTACATTATGTGTATTTTATCATAATGAAAAAATTAAAATTGGATCGACAACCTAAATATAAGAGCTAAAACTATAAAATTGTTACAAGAAACTATGGCATAAACCTTCAAGACGTTGGATTTGGCAAGGGATTCTTAGCTATGACAACAAAATAAAAAAATAGATAAACTGGACTTCATCAAAATTAGAAGCTTTTGTGAAAAGGACATTATCAAGAAAGTGAAAAAAACAAAAGAAATTTTTAAAAACAAAAAAGAAAAGTTAATTAAAAAGGGAAAGAAAAGACAACCTATACAATGGAGAAAATATTGCAAGTTGTCTGTCTGACAAGGGACTAGTATCTGGAACACAGATAGAGAACTCTTACGACTCAACAACAAAAAGACAAAAATACAATTTAAAACTGGGCAGGGGCTGGGTGATGTGGCTCATACCTGTAATATCAGCACTTTGGGAGGAAAAGGCAGAAGAACTGAACTGCTTGGGCCCAGGAGTTTGAGACCAGCCTGAGCAACATAGTGAGACCCACCTCTACAAAAATAATCGTAACAGTTAGCCAGGTATGGTGGCGTGCACCTGTAGACCCAGTTAATCGGAAGGCTGAGGTAGGAGGATCCCTTGAGTCAAGTTCAGAGGCTGTGGTGAGCTATGATGATGCCACTGTACTCCAGCCTGCGTGACAGAGCAAGATCCTCTCTTAAAAAAAGAAAAAAAAAGCCTGGGCACAGTGGCTTATGCCTGTAATCCCAGCACTTTGTTTGGAAAGCCAAGGTAGGAGGATCGCCTGAGCCCAGGAGTTTGAGACCAGCCCAGGCAATATAGAAAGACGCTGTCTCTACAAATAAAAAAATTAGCCAGGCATGGCGGCATGCTGTGGTCCCAGCTACTCAGGAGGCTGAGGTGGGAGGATCACTTGATCCCAAGAGGTAGAAGCTAGAGTGAGCCATGATCACACCACTGTACTCCAGCCTAGGCAACAGAGTGAGACCCTGTATTAAAAAAAAGGCAAAAGCTTTAGCAGATATTTCTCCAAAGAAGACATACAAATGGCCAACAAGCATGTGAAAAGATGCTGTATGTCATTAATCATTAGGGAAATACAAATCAAAAATACAATAGGATACACTTTATACCCACTAGGATGGCTAGAATCAAAAAATCAGAAAATAACAAGTGTTGGCAAAGATGTAGAGAAACTGAAACCCTTGTGCACTGCTGATGGGAATGTCAAACGGTACAGCCACTGTAGAAAACAGTGCAACAGTTCCTCAAAAAGTCAAACCAAAAAAAAGTCAAATCAAAAATTACCATTTGATTCAGTAATTCCACTGCTAGGTATGGACACAAAAGAACGGAAAACAGGTACTCAACTACATGTACACATATATTCATAGCAATAGCCAAAAGGTGAAAAAAACTCAAATGTCTACTAATGGATGAATGGATAAACAAACTGTGGTATATCCATACAATGGTAGCCAGACCTAAAAAGAAATGAAGTATTTATACATGCTACATGGATCAACCTTGAAAATATGCTATGTGGAAGACACCAGAAACAAAAGGTCATATATTTAATGATCCTATTTACATGAAATATCCAGGAAAGGTGACTTCATAGAGACAGGAAACACATTGGTGGTTGCCAGAGGCTAGGTGAAGGACAAAATGGGGAGTGACTGCTTAATGAGGAAGAGATTTCCTTTGGGGTGATAAAAATGTTTTGGAACTACATAGAAGTGATGGTTGCACTACACTGTGAATGTACTGGCCACACTTAATTGATCACTTTATTTAATTATTTATTTTTATTTTTGAAACAGTGTCTCATTCTGTCACCTAGGTTGGAGTACAGTGGTACAATCTTGGCTCACTGCAACCTCCGCCTCCCAGGTTCAAGCTATTCTCCTCCCTCAGCCTCCTGAGTAGCTAGGACTACAGGCACACGCCACCACAGTTGGCTAATTTTTGTATTTTTAGTAGAGATGGGGTTTCTCCATGTTGGCCAGGCTGGTCTTGAACTCCTGACCTCAGGTGATCTGCCAGCCTCGGCCTCCCAGAGTGCTAGAATGGCAGGCATGAGCCACCGCACCCACCTTAATTGTTTACTTTAAAATGGTTAATTTCGTTACATAAATTTCACCTAAAAAATTCTTAAAAGTTATTACAGCACTGATTTCATGAACATTTTGACAGCCCAATTTGGATAAAGCTAAATCAATCACTTAACCAGTACTCTTTCTTTACAATAAGGAATTAATTGTACAACAGAATCTCTAGTAAAGCATAATCATTTCACATAAAATAATTTGCTTAAATGGCCCATTTTTCTAAGTGCAGTTTCTAAAACACATACCCTTTAAAAAGAAACATACCATTATATATGTCTGGGAGCCCTTAGAAGAGTGTGGTTGGGGGTGGATTACTTCATGATTTGATTCTGCCTTTCCGGAAACCACTGTAGCAAAAGGCTTGGATTTAGAGTCACCATTTTTAATGTTACTTTTGGAGGTTTTTCTTTATGAAGAAGAAAAGAAAGAGTTATTATCAATATACTGAAGATTATGGGTTTTTATGTATAGGTGGAAGTGTGTGTATACAATGAATTCCCTTACAGAACTGGACCATTTATAGAGAACAGTTTTCTAAAAATCTAAGGGGCATCCTACAAAACACCTTACCAGTAGTCTTTGAAAGAAACAAGGTCATAAAAAATAAAGAAAGTGAGAAACGATCACAGACCCCTGATTAGATGTACTATATCCTGGATTGGATCCAGGAATAGAAAAGAGATGTTAGAGAAAAAAAACTGGTGAAAGCCAAAGAAAGTCTGAAATTTAGTCAATAGTAATACTTTTCTTTCTTTTTTTTTTTTTTTTTTTTAATTGAGACAGAGTCTCACTCTGTCACCCAGGCTAGAGTGCAGTGGCGTGATCTCAGCTCATTGCAACCTCCACTGCCCGGGTTCAAGCAATTCTTGTGCCTCAGCCTCCTGAGTAGCTGCGGCTACAGGCGTGTGCCACCACGCCTGGCTAATTTTTTTGTATTTTTTTTTTTAGTAGAGATGGGGTTTCGCCATGTTGGCCAGGCTGGTCTCAAACTCCTGACATCAGGTGATCTGCCAGCCTCGGCCTCCCAAAGTGCTGGGATTACAGGCATGAGCCACCACGCATGGCCAAGTCAATAGTAATATTTCAATGTTGGTTTCTTAGTTTTGACAAATGCATCAGGGTATGTAATCTAGTAATCACAGAAGAAATTAGATGAGGGGTATACAGGAACTTTCCACACTATCTTTCCAACTTTTCTGTTTATACAAAATTATTCCAAAATAAAAATTCTGTGGGAGACTGCCTCACATATGGGAGTACCAGGTTAATTTTCATTTTCAAATTTTACATGTTTGTAATAATACCACAACTGCTTGGCTAACTTTGAGAGTAAAACTGATTGGTATACTTAATGCTGACTTTAATAAATGTATACAGGAATAATATCCCCAACTATTTTAGCATGTCAGTTCTAAAACTGGGCTAAACCTCTGGAGAATTCAAGACAAGCATGGAGATCAGTGCACTGGAAGGCCAAAGTTCTGCTTGGTGGGAAATTATATAGACAATGTACACAAAAAGATGGTTATTCTTTAATTTTTTTTTTTTTTTTTTGAGACAAAGTCTCGCTCTGTCGCCCAGGCTGGAGTGCAGTGGCCGGATCTCAGCTCACTGCAAGCTCCGCCTTCCGGGTTCACGCCATTCTCCTGCCTCAGCCTCCCGAGTAGTTGGGACTACAGGCGCCCGCCACTGCGCCCGGTTAATTTTTTGTATTTTTAGTAGAGACGGCGTTTCACCGTGTTAGCCAGGATGGTCTCGATCTCCTGACCTCGTGATCCACCCGTCTCGGCCTCCCAAAGTGCTGGGATTACAGGCGTGAGCCACCGCGCCCAGCCAAGATGGTTATTCTTTATTCCCTCAGGAATCTGTAGCATTGCCACCTCTCTTTCCAAATTTAACATGCCACAAGGCAAGAGGAGAAGCCAAACAGATTGTGATAGTTTTGTCCAGCCCTAAGTCTTAGATCCTGGAACACCTGTTTAGTAAAGGCAGGACCTGCAAGTCAAAGCAAGGAACTCTCTCGGGAAGTTATATGAATGAAGAGGGAACTTTATGCAAGCTCTCAGAAATGTGAGCACTACTTTTTAAATATTACCATATTACATAGTAAGACATATAGGTTTCTTAGATAATCTCTAATTATAATATGATTCCTAAAACATATGCCCTCTTTTATTATTTGGCTGCTCCTTGAGAACAGGGCTAACTCATAGGCAGTGAACCCAGAGTAGTGCATATGTCCTTTTAAAAACAATTTACACTATATGTCTTAGAACCCTCTGAGGAATATGACAGTGGTTCTCCAAATTTCTGATTTTAGCAATTAAGCAAATTTCAACATGTATTTGAAGACTGGGAGAATATGCCATGCCAAAAGTGCTACTTTGGCATAAAGATCATTTTGGGCTAAGGTTCTTTAAAAAGTAAGTGCAAGCTTTGGGAGGCTGAGGCGGGCGGATCACGAGGTCAGGAGTTCAAGACCAGCCTGGCCAACATGGTGAAACCCTCTATCTACTAAAAATACAAAAATTAGCCGGGCACAGTGGCAGGCGCCTATAATCCCAGCTACTGGGGAGGCTGATGCAGGAGAACTGCTTGAACCCGAGAGGCGGAGGTTGCAGTGAGCTGAGATCATGCCACTGCACTCCAGCCTGGGTGACACAGCAAGACTCCATCTCAAAAAAAAAAAAGTAGGTGCAAGAAGGATACTCTGACCTTCCCTTTTTCTTCCAGAAAGCAGAAGATAAAACTCCCATATGAAATATGTCCTCCCTGTATCAGAAGGAAAGTAACATTCTTATTATTAAGAATGGAAAGCTGAACTAAGAGAATTCTATAAACAGACCTTATTAAAATAATTCTTATCTTCCTCTCCACATAGTTTACTTTTCCACAATTCCCTCTCTTTGTTGAATCAAGCACAAAAGCATTTAGGTTTTGCCACTTCTTTGGGTCTTCATTTCCTTATGAGGGCTCCTGTGTCACATAAAACTTATTCAGGTATTAAATAAATCTATATACTTTTCTCCTGTTAAATTGTAAGTTTAATTCTCAAACTCAGCCAAAAAACCCTAAGAGGGTAGAATCTTGCTTCCTCTACATATGTAATCAGGCCATTTTATTTCTTGTTTTAAAAAAAGAACCCACCATTAATTCTTGCATATGAATATTATAGAAGCCACCCTCTTTTACCCCATCTATTTAGCCCAGCTATTTGCAAGGGAAGTAGCTTACATCTTTGTGGCCTCCAAAAAGAAGGAGATTTGCCGCTTTATATAAGGCTGCCTCAGGATGCTCCTCACAGACGGCCTTTCTTCAGGCCTTTTACTCAGCATTGTTCTTATCAGTTCTGCCAACTCTGGGCTGTAATCCCTTGGCATTGGTGGCAGCTACAAAGAAAAATAATACTGTAATTATGACTAATGGTCTTGTGAAACAAAGTAAAAGCTGATAGAGGTTTCCCAATATTTATTTATAGTCATATATCCACATAAGCAGAAAACAATCAGTATGTTAGTCTACAGGAAGTGTACTGGTATCCCAGTTGTAAGATAACAAGTTGTAAAATTATAAAAGTATATCCTTCAACCCAGCAGTCCCATCTGATGACACTCTCATTCAGAAATAAGAGTATGAGTTTCCTAAAGACTTATGTATCAGGATGTTCAATGCAGTACTGTTCTTGCAGTAGTAAACAACTGGAAACATAAATGTCCCATAGTGGATCTGTGGAATAAATTATCATACATTCTTCTTATAAAGAAGAAGAAGCCAGTCACAGTGGCTCATGCCTGTAATCCCAGCACTTTGGGAGGCCAGGCGGGTGGATCATGAGGTCAGGAGATCGAGACCATCCTGGCTAACACAGTGAAACTCTGTCTCTACTAAAAATACAAAAAATTAGCTGGGCATGGTGGCGGGCACCTGTAGTCCCAGCTACTTGGGAGGCTGAGGCAGGAGAATGGTGTGAACCCAGGAGGCGGAGCTTGCAGTGAGCCGAGATCGCACCACTGCACTCCAGCCTGGGTGACAGAGTGAGACTCCATCTAAAAAAAAAAAAAAACAAAAAACCAAGACTTGCAGGTACCAACTTGGAAAGATGTCCCTCATGTATTAAGTCAAAAAAACAAGTTATGTACCATGCAAACAGCCTGATTCCATTTCAGTTTAAGAATCTGTGGGTGTACGTGTACACATGCACACACACACACAGAGTTATGTCTGTATAAAGGCAGGAAAAAAACAGAAAGGCCATGTACCAAATTGCTAGCAATGGTCATCTTCCAGGGAATGGGAATAGTAGGAGAAGAGAATTTCACTCCCTTCTTGTTTGATTCTTAAGTAGTGGCATTATGGGAAAATTTTACTTTTGTGTATGTTTTTCAATATGTTTCAAATTGAAAAATTAAATGAGTTGTGGGATAGTATTAAAATCAATAGGTGATTCATGGCCTTTAAAACTTAACAGTACATTGGCCAGGCGCGGTGGCTCACACCTGCAATCCCAGCATTTTGGGAGGCTGAGGCGGGCACGTCACCTGAGGTTCGAGACCAGCCTGGCCAACATGGTAAAACACCATCTGTACTAAAAATATAAAAATTAGCTGGGCATGGTGACACGTGCCTGTAATCCCAGCTACTTGGTAAGCTAAGGCACGAGAATCACTTGAACCCAGGAGGTAGAGGTTGCTGTGAGCTGAGATCATGCCATTGCACTCCAGCCTAGGAGACAAGAGCAAAACTCCATCTCAAAAAAAAAAAAAAATCCCTTAACAGTACACGGATGCCTGACACTATAAAGGGCAACTAGCCTCATGGAACATACAAAGTCGGTCACTCTGGAGTCTATATCAGACACAATGCTTTCTGTGGTTCTTAACTAGTTATTGATTATTGTGATGATTATCAAAGGAACAACAAGTTCAAACAGAGTAAACTCATTTTAAATGTAGCTCATTCAATCATAGGCTGCTTAGAAGAAGAGATAAATAGCCTCTCAGGGCATCTGCACATCCTATGACTATAGGCATAGGTTTTCAAAAAGCCAATTCTTTTCAGCCATTAAGCCATCTTACAGATTAATATTAAGAAATGATCCATCAATCCCTTTCCCTCTAGTCTGACCTTCCCCACAGAGGGGACCCACCATTGTTAACTATCAACCCAATATCAATAATTACTCACTGACTCATCAAAATCATCAATGATTTTGCTAGTAGCTATTTATAAAGCTGCACTATAGAAATACTGGTCAATTAGTTCTAGATTATTCTTTACCTTTCCTTCAATAATCCGATAAACTAAAGAATTCATATCTTTTGCATTGAAAGCATGCTTCAGGGTAGCCATTTCATAGACACAGCATCCTAGAGCCCAAACATCAGACTAGAAAATAAAAACAGTAAATGGTTAAATGTCAGAATAGCTTATTTACATTTTTTCCCCTTTAAAAAAAGAAAACATTTTCCTTAAACCAATTCATAATTATCTGACTTAACTAACTTCTGAAATTACGAGTACTAGGTAAGCCAGCATACAGAGCCCAATTCTACCTTATAGTTGTAGGGTTTGTTTGAGAACAATTCAGGGCTCATGTAGTAGGGTGTGCCAATGAGTGTGCTAGCCATGTCACAGTGGTTCTCTAACACTCGGGCAATTCCTAGGTCCCCCACTTTGATGATGTTTGTTCTTGTTAGGAAGACATTTTGAGTTTTCAGATCTCGATGAAGGATGTGTTTTTCATGTAAATACTGAGGAAAGAAACAAGATTTTATTACATATAAATAGACTCAATTATGTATTTATTCCTGGCCTATTATATACCATCAGCAATGGCATGAGTTACAGTCTTTGACCATAAAGAGTAACCAACCATACAATTCCTTATTCAACAAACAAATACCTACCAAACATCATTGCTTTATAATCTCTAAATAAAAGGTCTAATTTACAATATTTCAAATGAGAAAATTAAGTTCCATGCATTGACTTACCCAGTACACATCAAAACTGTTCTCTGGTAGCTTGACAATTAATACATTTTGGGACTACATGAATCCAGTTTAAAAATATGTTTACAGGCCAGGCGCATTGTTCAGCAGTTTGGGAGGCTGAGGTGGGCAGATCACTTGAGGCCAGGAGTTCAAGACCAGCCTGGCCAACATGGCAAAACCTCATCTCTACTAAAGAAATACAAAAATTAGCTGGGCATGGTGATGCATGCCTATAATCCCAGCTACTTGGGAGGCTGAAGCATGAGAATCTTTTTTTTTTTTTTTTTTTTTTGAGACGGAGTCTTGCTCTACCGCCCAGGCTGGAGTGCAGTGGCCGGATCTCAGCTCACTGCAAGTTCCGCCTCCCGGGTTTACGCCATTCTCCTGCCTCAGCCTCCCGAGCAGTTGGGACTACAGGCGCCTGCCACCGCGCCCAGCTAGTTTTTTGTATTTTTTAGTAGGGACGGGGTTTCACCGTGTTAGCCAGGATGGTCTCGATCTCCTGACCTCGTGATCCGCCCGTCTCGGCCTCCCAAAGTGCTGGGATTACAGGCTTGAGCCACCGCGCCCGGCCAGCATGAGAATCTTGAACCCAGGAGCGGGAGGTTGGAACAAGCCATGATTGAGCCATTGCACTTGAATCTGGGCGACAGTGACACTCTGTCTCAAAAAAAAATGCTTACAAACTCCCACTGAAGGTAGGCAACTTATACAAAGTCAGACACATGAAATCCTCAGCTTAATAATATTTTCAAGTATAGCAAGAGCATTTTTATTTAGAGGAAGTATCTCAGAATTTAAACATGGTCACTTAATTCTGGACAAGTCTACCCAGTTCCAAAATAGTATTTCATAAACAGTCTTGCTTTTGAGTTACATGCATATTAAAACACAAACTTGTAGGAACACTTATTCCATCTTATAGAATGAAGTGCTGCCCAATTCTAAAAAATAAAAAAAAAGAAAACTTATTTTGCATTTCCATCTACTGTACCCCAGCAGGGTGACAGATGAAATCACTTGGGCATATCAATTAGCCTAGCTACCTTTCAGCATGACACAACTGACCAATGGATAACAAACATAGTCACTCTTTGCTCTTGGTTGCCTCAGGGTCCTTAAAATTGACTTTGCTATAAATATTAAATGAGTGGGCTTCCCCTGCAATTAGATATGAAATCTAGGTCTATTTTAATATAGGTATCAGTTGCTTAGAAAAGTTCCAATGCTACAGCAAGAGTGACTGGGTCAACTTCACAAATGAATTTTCCAAAAAATACATTTCCATATGTAAGTATCTGAAGAAAAATTTTCCTAAAATACACCTGCCATCTTCTTGTCATCTGGGAATAAGCTAGGATGCTATTAGTCTACACAGTACCTGCAAAGCCATGGCGATCTGTACAAACCACTCTACCACCTGATTCTCAGGCAGAAGCTGCCCTTTCTGCTCCTTAAGCTTTCGGTACAGATCACCTCCTTCACAGAAGCCCATGACGATGTAGAGCAGACCATCTCCTCCTTCCCATGACTCCTTGTAGGTGACAATGTTGGGATGCTTCAACTGAGACAAGAGCTGGGCTTCCTGTTCAGCAGCTCGCCGCTCTCGGCTAGAGGCATTTCGGAGGTTCAGTTTTTTGATGACATACTAAAAACAAAACATGTATTTTTACAACGTGCAAATAAACACAAGATTTGTGGCCTCAGAGTTATCTAAGGGCTCTCAAGAATATCCTCAAAACCAACCTTGTAGAGCCTGTCAGATAACCTATTCATTTTGTTTTTCACCAAGTACAAAATCAGGGAAAATATTTGCTATTATTAATGATACTTCTTATAAGTTAGATTTGTAGCACTGTAAGGCCACAAAAAAATTACCTTTCCATCTGCATTTCACAATTTCATTAATGACTAAAAAAAGTGAGTTCAAGATAACATACTATTGGATCAATTATAAAACCTGTGTTAGCAATTTCTTAATGTCTGGCCGTACACAATGGCTCACGACTGTAATTCCAGCACTTTGGGAGGGCAAGGTGAGTGGATCACCTGAGGTCAGGAGTTCAAGACCAGCCTGGTCAACACGGTGAAACCCGTCTCTACTAAAAATACAAAAATTAGCCCGGCGTGGTGGTGTGTACCTGTAGTCTCAGCAACTCGGAAGGCTGACACAGGAGAATCGCTTGAACGTGGGATGCAGAAATTGCAGCAGTGAGCTAAGATTGCACCACTGCACTCCAGCCTGGGAGGCAGAGCAAGACTCTGTCTCAAAAAAATTTAAAAAAAAAAAAAAAAAGAAATTTCTTAACATCTAAACTCTCCCAAAAAGGTGCATAAAATATGGCTTGAATATACATTTGCAGACAGAATAGTCCATGGATTACATTAGATACTCAAAGGGATCCATGGCCCCATAAGTTTAATAGTCACTGATCTTCAGCATAGAAAATTATTCACTTAAAAGAAATCAATAGCCTCTAACACCTAATACATTGCCCTCAATCATTTCAAAGACCATACAATTCATTTCTTCAACACATACATAAATGTGTTTTGTGAAGTGTAAACTAAAGCTCAAATAACTAGCTATTGCTAGTTCCCTATTATCAGCCCCAAAATCCAATGATTCCCCCAATGCCTACTGAATAAATCTCTTATGCATGAGCTTGTGTTCCAGCAAAGCAACTAGCACCAGAGACAAGGAAGAACAGGCAATTGGGCCCTATATTTAACGGGGACATCTCCTCTCAGCTTGGCTGGAGCAGTCCTATTGTCCTGGTGTAACTATTGATAGTGCCTCCTTTCAGTTTCAAAATTGTCCCAGTTTGTACAATACATTATATTGTCACCCTATTAATATACCACATTGAAGAATTGGTTCATTATCCTGAGGGTAATGGGATAAAGTGTTTTAAAGAAAGGAGGAGTGACATCAGATTTAAATTTTAGAAGGATCACTAAGGCTGCAATGAAAGTGATGGATTGGAGAAAAGCAAGTCAAGTAGCGGCGACCAGTTGGGAAACTGTGGCCATAGCCTAGCTAGAGAAAACAAGGTGTCCTGGATTAGGGTGGTACCAATAGAGATGAGAAGAGGCCTACTGTCTTAGTGATAGATAAATATAATCAGTGTTGGGGTGCGTGGGGAGGCTTAAAAATGACTTCAGGTGTCCGACTTGGGCAACTGGTGGGTTGGTGTCGTTATTCACTGAAACGGAAGACATGAAATAAGGTTTAGCGGGAAGAAAATGAGTCCGAGTTTTAAGTGAGTCCAGCAGTCTACAGTAGAGACCTTTGAGGCCCATTATGCAAGGAATAATGCTTGCTAGGCGCTGTGTTAAGTCCTGGGAATGCATGATACCTGCTCTCATGAGATTGTCGGGGGTGGGAGAAAGGTGTGTAGATCAAGCATGTCAATTAATACAACAAAGAAATAGATATGCAGAGACTGAAAATTTTTCATAAAACGAAGAATCGTAATTAAAGAAAATGAAAATTAAAAGGAAAAAAAGTAATACAACAAAGAAGTAGAGGAAGTTCTGGGCGCATATTACAGGGAGGCCTGGCCTCATCTTGGTCTGGGACCATCTCCCTGAGGAAATGCCATCCGAGATGAACCCCTTGCGACCACTCCCGATCTAATCTACCGGTAGGCGCCCTCGGCGCACCTCTGCCCGCCCCCGGCCCTTGCCGGGCCTCACCCCTGCAGACCTGCTTGCCGTCCCGCCGGTGCTTCACAAGCGTCACCTCTCCGTAGCTCCCCTTGCCCACGACCCGCAGGTAGCAGTAGGCGGCCAGGGGCATGTTCCCAGCGCTGGCCCAGAGTCGGGATGCGGCGGCAGCGGCGGGTAGGGCAGCGGGCGGCAGCAGGAGGCTCGGTTCATGCCCTAAAGTGTGCAGTGGGGGCGGCTGTTGAGGCAGCCAGGCCCGGGCGGGATCGCAGGGTCCCAGCCCACGACCACGCCGCTGCCATAGCGATCCGGGCCGGGAGCAGTCCTGCGCATGCTCCTGCGTCCCCAAAGGACGGCCATAGAGCGGACGCCACGAGCGGCCAGAGAGGTTCCGCAGCCCCGGGAGGACCCGCCATAGAGCAGAGGCTCCAGGAGGCCAGAGCGACCTCTCCAGGCCCCGCGCGCTATCTGTTCGTCGGTTCCACCGTCCTGGTCCCCGCCACGGCAGAGTCGGGGAAAGCTTCCTCTTATTGTGCACTTGTTTGTCCTAAGCCCGTTACAAGTATTGTTCGTTCATTCTACGAATATTTATTGACTGCCTATGTGCCAGGCCGACAAAGCCCCTTCCCTCCTGGAGCTCATGTTCTAATGATTGGTGACAGACTGTACCAGTAACATTTGCTGTATCCGCTTTATCACATGCCGTCTCTGCATCCAGCAATCCATCCTATTTTTTGATACATTCAAAGTAAATTGGAGATATCAGTACCTTTCATCCCTAAAAACTTTCGCCTGCTAATTGAGAACTACAAAGACTCCTCAGCAGTTAACGACTGCCCTAACCACTGCACTAAGAGACCTGACTAAACTCTAGCATGGCGTTATGCTAAGTTAATAGCCTAAGGGCGGATCTCTAGGTGGACCTAGGCCCCTTTAAAATGTCTGCCCAAGAAAGCTCAGGGGTGCCAAAAGAATTCACCATTTGTTCCAGCCAATGCCTCCCTTTTCTAGACCGCTTCTTTTTTTTTTTTTTTTTTTTTTGAGACAGCGTCTGGCCCTGTCACCCAGGTTGGAGTGCAGTGGTGCAATGGTGCTCACTGCTGCTTAGACCTCCTGGGCTCAAGCCATCCTTCCAACTACAGGCACACACCTCCATGCCTGGCTAATTCTATTTTATTTTTTTCAGAGACAGGGTCTCACTAAGTTCCCCAGACTGGTCTTGAACTCCCGGGCTCAAGCAGTTCGCCCACAGTGGCCTCCCAAAATGCCGATATGTGTGCCATTGTGCCTGGCGTCTTTCCTTTTTATGGCCAAATAATATTCCATTGTATATATATACACCACAATTTGTTTATCCATTCATGCAGTCATGGACACGGATAGCTTCCATCTTTTAACTATTGTGAATAATTCTGCTATAAACATGGGTGTACTAATATCTGTTTGAATCCCTGCTTTCTTTTTAATTCATTTGGGTATACACTCAGAAGTGAAATTGCTGGATCATATGCTAATTCTAGTTTAATGTACTGAGAAACCACCACACCATTTTCCACAGCAAGCTGAACCGTTTTACATTCCCATCAGCAATCCACAAGGGTTCAAATTTCTCCTCATCCTTGATCTATATCTTGATAGGAGATTTGGGTGTATGGATTTGTCAAAATTATCTAATGCTAAATTTAATATTTGCACATTTTCCCTCAAAGCAAATTTCATCTTCACTAGAAAACCAAACAAAAAGAACCATAAATAAAGATTGAACTCTAGTTAATGATATTATTAAAGATAAACAGGCCGGGCGTGGTGGCTCATGCCTGTAATCCCAGCACTTTGGGAGGTCAAGGTAGGCGGATCACGAGGTCAGGAGATCAAGACCATCCTAGTTAACACAGTGAAACCCCATCTCTACTAAAAATACAAAAAATTAGCCGGGCGTGGTGCTGCACACCTGTAGTCCCAGCTACTCAGAAGGCTGAGGCGGGAGAATGGCGTGCACCCAGGAGGCGGAGCTTGCAGTGAGCCGAGATCATGCCACTGCACTCCAGCCTGGGCGACAGAGCGAGACGTAAACAAAGCCAAGCATTAAAACGGTGAAAATAGATTTTATTCAGTAACTACTGGCGGTAGGGGAAAGAGCTGAACTCCATTCTATTTGTGCAGAGGTGATTGGGCATTCCAAAGGAAGAATAAGGGAGTAGGCAGGGGAGCAAGCAGGGGCTCACTTAGAGTCTGGGAAGTGAAAAATTAAAAGGATTGGTTAGCGTAAATGTGATTAGGCCAACTGTGTCTGCTAGCTGGCAATCAGGGAAGTCAGGATTCTATTCTCCCACATAGACTGGGAGACATGAGCCCTACCTTTCTGATGATTACATTTCAAAGGAATGGATTTTAGGTCCTTGAGAAAGACATTCCTAGGATGTAGGAAATACATAGGTATATATCTCAGAGGGACAGAAGAAGGATTTGTAATTGTAAGCTTTTTAAAGTTAGTGCTCTAGAGGCGGCACACTATGACTCACACCTAATCCCAGCACTTTGGGAGGCCAAGGTGGGAGGATCACTTGAAACCAGTCTAAGCAACACAGTGAGACCCCCTTCTGTACAAAAAATTATAAAAATTAGCTGGGTGTGGTGGTGCATGCCTGTAGTCCCAGCTACCTGGGAGGCTGAGGTGGGAGAATCAGTTGAGTCCCAGAGGTTGAGGCTGCAGTGAGCCATGATCCTGGCACTACACTCCAGCCTGAGTGACGGAGTGAGACTCTGTCTCAAAATAAATAAATTTTTAAAAAGGAAGGATGTTCTGACGTGCTACAACATGGATGACCCTTGAGGACATTATGCTAAATAAAATAAGGCAGTCACAAGAGGACAAAAGTATGATTTCACTTATGTAAGGTACCTGTAGTAGTCAAAATCACAGATTCAGAAAGTAGAATGGTGGTTGCCAGTGGTTGGGGAGAGGAGGGAGTTGGTGGGTAGTGTTTAATGGGTGCAGAGTTTTAGCTGGGGAAAATGAAAAAGTCCTGGAGATGGATGGTGGTGATGGCTGCACAACATGAGCGTACCGAAGCCACTGAACTGTATTCTTAAATATGGTTAAATAATAAATATTATGTTCTGTATATTTTACCACAATAAAAAAATTGTGGCGCACTGCTCCTGTAATCCCAGCTACTCAGGAGGCTGAGGCATGAGAATCACATGAACCTGGGAGGCGGAGATTGCATTGAGCCAAGATCGTGTCACTGCACTCCAGCCTGGGCAACAGAGCGAGACTCCTTCTCAAAAAAAAAAAAAATTATATTGTGTGTGTATATATATATATATATATATATATATATATATATATTTCATTCTACAGACAAAGGTCTACTAGCCTGGCCCTGGAGGACAACTATGAACAAGACAGACAAGGGCCTGTCCCTGTGGGGCTTACAGTCGAAGGGGGAGACGGCCATGCATACTAACAAGCTGCCCTTGCCAACTGAGGTCAGTACTGTGCAGAAAAGCCGCCTGGTCCAGCCTGGCCATCCAGGAGAGGTTGCCCCAAGCAAGCACCGCATGAGTGGAAGTTTAAAGAAAAACTTTTTCAGGCAGAGGAGCAACATGTGCTAAGACCCAATGGACTCATTTTGTGACTTTACCTCCACACCTCAGTGTGAACTCCCTGAGGACTGGGCCAGGCCTGTCTGCTTCAACACCCTAAACCCAGCAGGTGTAAATGAAGGAATTGTGGGTTGCTGAACGAATGAGTGGAGAAACACCTGCCTACCTGGATCTAAAAGAAGTCTCTGCAGTTGAAGCTGAGAGACTCAGAGGGGCCATGGGCTAGGTGACATAGAGGGGTCAGCAGGGGCCGTACCACTCAGGATAGGGTGTGTGAGACAGGGGAAGTTCTGCAGCAGACTGACCTTTCTTTTTTTTTTTTTTTTTTTTTTGAGACGGAGTCTCACGCTGTTGCCCAGGCTGGAGTGCAGTGGCGCGATCTCGGCTCACTGCAAGCTCCGCCTCCCGGGTTCCCGCCATTCTCCTGCCTCAGCCTCCTGAGTAGCTGGGACTACAGGCGCCCGCCACCGCGCCCGGCTAATTTTTTTTTTGTATTTTTAGTAGAGACGGGGTTTCACTGTGGTCTCGATCTCCTGACCTTGTGATCCGCCCGCCTTGGCCTCCCAAAGTGCTGGGATTACAGGCTTGAGCCACCGCGCCCGGCCAGACTGACCTTTCTAAATGGTGACTCTGGCTGCTGCCTGGAGCAGAGTGGAAGAAGATCAGCCGTCTAAATGAGGGATGAGGGCGGCTTGAACTAGGTGGTGACTGGGGATGGGGAGAGAAGTTAATGGATTAGAGGGATATTCAGAGGTTGGGAGGTGGGGTAGGTGGTCAAGGAGAGTGAGGCACCCAAGATGCCACCCAGCCTTCTGGCTTGGATGCCCAGCTGGATAACGATGGCCTTCACTGGAGTGGACAACAGGGGGAAGACCTGGCTTAGTAGCGGGCTGTGGGGAGGAGGAGACAAAGGTCAGGAGTTCAATTTGGACATACCAGATGGAGGGGCTCTGGGCAAATCAAGCAGACAGTTGGCTGTGTGGCGGTGGAACTCAGAGCAGGTCTGGGCCCATGTGCTGTCCTGCTGGCACCAGCAACACAGTTACCCTCCCCATTCTCAATCAGCAGCAACCATAGCTGCTTTCTGTCCACCCTGGCCCCCATCTCCCACATGCATAGGGTAGGCCAATTTCTCCTCTTCCTCTGTACCATGAGGATAATATTAACAATAATATCTGTCTCTTGGGGGGAGTTGTGAGCAGTAAATGAATTCGGACACAAATGATGCTGAGAAGCATGACAGGCACAGGTCATAATTAGCTCTCCCCATCTCCTGTCCACCCTCCCCCTGTGCAAACATGCTTCTAGCACTTTACATGGACCAGGCTTGGTGCTAGCCATCTCTCAACAGCCCAGTCTTGAACTCATCACACCCTTGCTCAAAATATCTTAAGTATCTCCCACCCAAAAGGCTAATCACTTTCAGACATCTGCGCCAGCTGGTCCCAACCCCCTTCCCAGCCACCTTCCCCACCCTCTTCATCAGCTCCTTCTCCCATTCCAGACACCTCCACATTCCCACAGCATACATCCCACCTGCCCATCTGCTTTTCTCTCCCTCCCTTCCCACCTTCCCCTTCCCAAGCACTGCTCTTTTTTCCAGGCATCTCATCCAGGAACCTTCTCCTAATCCCTGCGGGAGATGAGCCTCTGCCCCTCCAAATTTCTACCTCTTCAGCTTCTCATCACTCGTTGGAATTCAGTTGGCTCCCTTTGACTTG